TTTTGTAGTGATATATAATTTACTGTTAAAAATATTTTTTTCTCAATTAAATTGAAATTAATTATATAAATTAATATTTAATGTAATAATAAATTTATACCTCTAGGCTAAATTTTAACTTACATTTAATTGTATATAACTTATTGTGATTTCGTTACACGAATGCTTATAATGAGACTGACACGGGAATTAAAAATGAAAATAGTTTACGTTTTAATATAAAAAATAAGGAAAAAGAAAATAGCAAAAAATTCCTGCTTAGAGAAAGCATTGAGTTTTAATGTTAGAAATTTTGACGATGGTTACAATCTATTGTTTCTAGCAGATGGCAGCACTAGTCGTTCACTTAATGACAAAATTATTGTTCGAGAAATAGAAGATTGTTTTTATTTTTCCACGAAAGAACCGCCGCAGCAGTAACAAATAAAATGTTACTTTCTAACTGGAAAAAAAGAAGATAAATGGTAATTTTTTTTAGAATGTTTCGGCTTAAATAACATAAAAAAACAATAGCTAATGTTATTACTCAATTTTATATATTCGTGATTACACTTAAAGATGATGATGATGATGATGATGAGAAGAATATTTTAAATATGTCATTTTATTTTAAACCGGAATTAAGACTTTCTTAGAATATTGTTAACTTACTAAACAGCATTAAGTATTTCTAGAAAATGACTAATAATGCGAATTTAATTTATAGTAATCTTAAACTTAATATTTTACCCCCTTACGAAATTATCTGTATGTGATATAATATAATATATATTTATATAAATTTATGTTATTATTCTTACGCTTTTGGAATATTTATCATAAATATAAAAATATCAATCGATTTAATTACGATAAACACGTGTATAGAACAAAGTATTAAGTAACACGAACTCTCACAAGCATAGTACATCCACGTATTTCGCAATTGAAAACATTTTTAGTTTATGTACAGCTTCGTTAGAACGAAAGGGGCTTCGACTATTGTTTACTTAATTAAAGATTATATTTATTTATATTACTTTTTTGAACTTAGTTATAAATGTCGTCGTTTAGGTGAAAAGATCAAAATCGAAATGCTTTTTTCTTTATTTTTACTTTTTTTTTCAATGCTGCTCACGATATTAATAATGTATAAGTGTCAAGTTCGTTTGTAAAAAGGTGAAGTGTGCTGCTTCGTCATACCGAGTATTGACATGCAAAACGATTATTTTCAATCACGTGACGATCAAATACGTCACAAAGTGTCAGCAACCCATCCCAGACTAGACGATTGCCCGAACACATAAAGGAGAGAACGTGTTCTGTACCTACCTACCCCTTCTTAAGAGATTTTTTTTTACTCCTGTTTATCCCGACTTTTTATATTCCGATCACGTGTATTAGTTAGACAACCTGCTCTGACATCACTAACGTTCTAACGTGGTTACACGTGAATTGAAAAGTGTAGAAAGTGAAGCGGCTTTCTCAACTCAAATTCATCATTTTTTTTTAAGCATCATTTAATAAAAGGTAAGAGCGCCTTTTTTTTTTATAAAAAAATCAAATAGCTTTCAAATAGAAGAATAAAAATATTTAACAATAGAATTATTTATGTAAATGAACGTGCTTCATCTTTTCATTTATGAAAGACTTCTGATCGATTTTTTTATTGTTATTTAAGTTCTTGAACTTATCTAGGTAATTAAGATAGATTAATTAATATACAGAAAAGTATTGTTAAAGATATTCAAGAGTTTCTTGTCGATCGTTCGGAGAATGCAGATGATTCTTTTGTGAGTTTGAAAGGGTGAATAATAGTTTTTCATTCAAGAGCATACGTGTTTGCAATACTCTTCAAAAACTTTCTATGGATACAATCAAATAACCAATATTTGACTTAAAATCTTCAATTTTCTTCTTCTTTTTTTAAATAATATTTTAACAAATCTGAATTCCTTCGTAATATATGCCAATTTTAATATAAACGTTAGTAAGCTTAAATTTATAAAATTTGATCAATCTTTTTTTCTTTGTAATCCCATCTGGAGGCATGAGTTTTTAATATAAGAATTTTTTTAAATATCATATTAACTATATTAAGACAACGTCATTGACCTTGTTTGGTTCTTTTTCTTAACGACTCGAGATCGTTGCCCTTATGTTGAGGCTCTTCTCTAAAGCTTAAAGGTTTTTCGTTCGTCAAACACCCTTCCGGCATTATTTCTTTTTTGGCATCAGACATCGTATGACGTTATGTCTGGGGAGTAAAATTGGTTTGTATGTTGATTGAAAGAGTCTTGTAAACAAGTTGAATCGAACCAAGACTAATCTGATTCTCTGTATAAATTGTCTATTCGCTTATTATTTTTGTCACTGTGTTGTCAAACATTAAAAATTTCTTGTAAGATAATTAAGTAAACAAATATTAATGCGCTATATTCTCTAGAGTATAGACTCGCAGATCTCCATACAGGTGACATAAAAGAAAACCGTGTTTTATTATTATTTTTATTATTATTATTAAAAAAAATAAAGAAAAAGGCTCGACTATGTCAAATTAGATTTAACTTTGTTGTCATTTACCGACGTTTTCTCGATTATAATTATTTTTTTCTTGTTACATTCTCTATTTTACTATATAATATTGATTATTTCGTTAGTTTGTTTATAATACTTTGGACAGTGCATAGAGATTTTGTAGTGTTTTTCTTAGCGAAGTTTATATACATAAATTTTCTCATCACAATACTCTTGAGTTTAAAATTTTATTCGTACTTTTAAGTTAATAAATTTATTATTTTAAATATATAAATTTTAATATAAAAGGTTATTTCAAACAAATTTAAATGTTTAAGTAGCGAAAAATGTCAAAAAATATTTTAAAACGATTTTAAATAGAAAAATAGGTTAAAAAATGATTATATATATTTTTTTGTTTGTTACTATATATAAAAATATTTTCCGACGAACAAAATAAATTATGTAATGCTTTAATTAATAAAATAACAAGTTTTATCATTAAGAATTGGAAGGGGTTCAAGTTTTTAAGGAAGTAATCTGTTATTTACTTTAAGAATACTTTACTGTTTTGTTATAAAATTACTTATGTAAGATGACGTTTATAATAAAAATTAAATTAAATTTTTAAAAAATTTAATTTAAAAAAATGAATTTAAGTTTATATAAAAGTTTTCTCTAAAATTAGGTCATTTTTAAAATTCTGGCATTATATTTAGCTTCATGGACTATTTATGTTATAAATGTTCGTTAACGTCAATAACTTACTCAAAGAATGAATATCCTGTAAGCAATTACAGAAAATATTATTGTAATTTTGATTTCCTTAAACTTTTCGTGGAAAAAATTTAATGTAATTACAATTAATATACTGTAATAGGAGTTCGACGTTACCTTATTAAATAACATATCCTGTGCAGATATATTTACCATATAAATATTTATCAAATTTCTATTGTAATCGTTATATAATAGATTATGATATTGGAGTGTAATTTTGCTATTCATATTTAATAACAGGAACAAAAGATGATAGTTATGTACTGTACTATTGATACTGCTATAGCCTAATCTTTTTGAAATTAATACCTCATATTAAAAGCTCCTACAAATTTATTAATAATTAATCTGTTAACTTTTAGTAGTCATCCAAAAAGCTATTGGTAACTAGGTATAATGAATATTTTATCATAAGGTAAATAGGTCAGTGGGTTTCGATGTCCTCATAAGAAATGTTTCGAATTTTGTATTATTCTAGCTTTTGTGTAACATGATCAAGGTAAGTTTTGAATTCTTTTAATATTTATTTCAACAGAATTTATGGTTGCAATTTAGTATATATTCTACTTTGTATGCGTGATATCTATGATCTACTGCTCTGTTGACTACTTTCTAGTTCGTGCCTCCTTATGGTTTGTGTATGATAGCATGAATAGGTAACAGGCGTGAATATCCTTTAAAATATCCTGAAAGCGCAGAAAGTGTTAAGCGAGGAAATGTGCTAGAAGAGTAATATATCACTACTAACGTGTTTAACCATTATTTCTACACTTTTAAAACTAAACAGTTTTGCATATAAATCATTTTAAAACACTTTTTATTTAGAAATTTTTATAAAAATATATAATTTAGATGAAGCGGATATTACCCTCTGCTATTCATCGTCATCTCTATAGATCGCGTGTATCTACAGCCACGGATTCATTTGAAGCATCTACAAATGAATTACCTTCATTTACAATTGAAGAAGAGCATTCTCGTATTAAAGAATTTTCCGAAATTCCAGGACCTAAACCACTTCCAGTTATTGGTAATATCTGGAGGTATCTGCCTGTTATTGGTAAGTGTAATGCCTCGTATCTATGATATGAAAATAATATTTTGTAGATTATATTTTATAAATTTTTATTTAAAAAATAGGCGAGTACGATCCTAATAGACAACACATAAATTATGAAAAAATGTATAGAGAATATGGTAGTATAGTTAAAGAAGTAGTTATAGGGAAGAGAATTGTTGTTCATCTCTTCGATCCTAACGATATGGAAACTTTATATAGAAATGAAGGAAGATATCCAAGCAGACTGAGTCATCGCGCATTGTTGAAGTATCGCAAGGAACGACCGCATTTGTATAACAATGGCGGATTGTTTCCTAGGTAAGTGTGATTTTATATGACGCGTATTAAAAGAATTACACAAACGTACACGGGTTATTTATATTTGGGAAGGAAATCATGTGGTTTCGTAATAGTTGAGGTTCCTGTGAATTAACGACAATATAAAAAAGTATTAAAACCAACCATAAAATAAAACCGAATCTGTTTATTAACGATGGAGAAAATTACTCTTTTACAATACAATATACTGTTTAAATCTTGTCTTAGTTATCTGATTAAATACTGTGTATACGCCATAACTCCTTTATTGCAACGCTGATTTGTATGGGTAATTAACATTTAAATTGTACATAGTTTAAGTATTTAGTAGTGACAGATAAGTGCGCGTGTCAAATATTTTATGAATCCTGTTTATTACTTACTTCATTAAATATTACTTTATATAGCTTCATTAAAAATATTTAATTAGATTATATTAATAATTAAAACTGACCAATTAAAAAAAAATATGCATCACAAGATTACTTTTATATTTATTAGTTTTAAACATTTTATCTATACTTTTGCATTTTGATTATGTAGATTTTACGATATATAAAAATATTTTATTGGTCATATTTTAGCAATAATGAAGAATGGCATAGATTAAGGCAAGCTTTTCAACGAAGTCTTCTTCACTCCAGTATAATAAACGAGTATATTTCTCCTTTACAAGAACTTTCTGAAGATGTAATTGGAAAAATCAAGAAAATAAGAAATAGCCAGAATCAAGTGGACGACTTTCAAAAAGACCTTTACAAATGGGCTATTGAATGTAAGAATATGAATTTTATTATGTTTTGGCTTTCTTTTAAATCCTAAACTTTTTATAATTATTTTTATATATAAAATTTTAAAGTTCTCCTGAGGCTTAATTATTCTCAAGACATTTTAACTTCTAATTAGATTTTAAATTAATTGCCCTTATTTATATTTATACTCCTTAATTTAAAAAATTTTTAATTTTATAGTTTATAAGACTACATATTTTATTTTTGATATTTTAACGAAATTACCCGTATCAATTTATAAGGTACAGGAATTATAACGCTGAATAGGAGATTAGGTTGCATAGAGAAAGGTCTGTGCACGGAAGAAGAAATAAACAACTTAGTTAAATCTGCTGGAGATACACATCAGGCCGTAATGATCACAGAAAATGGCTTACCTCTATGGCAACTATTTCCAACTGCAGCTTATAGGAGTCTTGTGCATGCTCAAGACGTAATGACCAAGTAGGTTTGTTTATTGTGAAGAGACTCTTGTCGTTAACGATCTGCTTCGTTTATACGCTGATTTTTGCTTTTAGAATTCTTAAAAGATTTTTAGAAAAGTCGAAGAATGAAACAGAATGCAAGTCAGCCATATTAAATAGGTTTATGTCTATGCCAAATATAGATGAGAAGGATATTTTTGCTATGATCCTCGATATGTTTCTAGCTGGTATAGATACGGTATTTATTTTTACACGAATTTTAATTTTTCTTATATCTTAGACACTAAAACAAAAATACTTTTAACATCAAAAATAACCTTTTTAACACGAAAAATTTTATTATATAATACATTAATAAATGGAAACTTAAAAATCAATTAAACTTCATTAAAACGCCATTATAGATAATCCATGTAATTTTTTTCTACTCTTTTAGTTTAAAAAAATTTATTCTATATTAACAAGGCTCGTTTTTAAATTTATTATAAACAAAATAACTCACCTTTTATCTGTTTTATATTTCCTTCTTTTCTTCTTTTTTATATAATTTAAAAAAAATCAGATAAAATAGCAAGATATAACCAGAATCGATCGTCATAAAACTCGATGAGATAAAATTGGTTTTTAATTTTCTAGATTGCACTTTTCGATGATTTGATTAATTATTTATAATTTGTTATAGTTAAAATATAAAAAATGATGCTTAATAAAATTTGTTTTTAAATGTTATAAAATTAAATTATCAATATGATTGATTGATTTCTTTTATGTATGTATATATTATTCTCTGTAAAAATGAAAGTATATAGAAAAAGGATGAAAACAGTCTAAATATTAAATTCTAATATCTAAGACTTATTGATTTTATATTTTAAAATTGAATTTTATAGACTGCCTATTCTGCTGCTTTCACTCTATATCATCTGGCACGAAATCAAGAATGCCAAAAAATTTTACAAAAGGAATTAAAGAGCAAATTACCAAGCAAAACATCTGAAATATCAGCAGAAACACTAAAATCATTACCGTATTTAAAAGCTTGTATCAAAGAGAGTATGAGGTATGGATCTCTAGAAAATGTGTTCTTAACAATATGTGATAGATAAAATTTAAAATACTGGTTAAATAGATAAAATATCATTTCTTCTTTAAATTATCTGAAGATAATATTTCTAAATGTCTTTATTTCAGGTTAAATCCTATAGCAATAGGAACCGGTCGAATTTTACCAAAAGATTTGATAGTTTCAAACTACAGGCTTCCAGCAAAGGTAAAGATATTGGGATAGATTTATAGACACCCATAGTCAAGTTACAAATGGATAGTTGAGAATTTAGAGTTGAATTTCTACACGAACAATTGACTTTTTTTTTTTCTTATGTTCTACCGTAACGACCAACAAACATTTATTGGATTCGGGTTCGAGTGGAAATCTTTTTAATGGAATAGAACTGTCAGACAGATGACTATCTTTTTAGTATCTCTGTTCTATTACTTGATGTATATATACCGATATAGAAACTTAGTTTTAAATGTATGAAACTTTCCTTTTAATGCGAGTATGATTTTCTTTTTAGAATAATTTAAAACTCTGAGACCGAACTTTGTATATTAAGACAATCTATTTGTCATAAAATATCTGGAAAAAAAGATTCATTTAATGATGTCGTGAAATAATATAATGATGTTATATATCGTTAAAATACATTTAATAGTTATTTGTAGCGAGCTGTAAACAGACGATTGCCTTACAACTGACATTTTTTATTCTCTCAATATTGTTTTAAGCTATTGAAAGAAGAGAAAAACAGTCAGGTTAATGCCCCGATTTCTATTAGAAGACTGTTGTAAATTGTTCGTATCAAGGCTATCATCAGAATGAGATATGAAATCCTATTCAAAATGAATTTGTTTTTATTATATAAAGATATTGTTAAACTGTTATCGACTATTTGTTAAATTAGCAAATTGGCTGTTTAATAACTAAACTTAGTGTGGTATGTATTGATTTTACATTAATATATACTGTATATTAAAAATATATCAGCATGTAAAGATGTATATATTTTACTGTAATATTATATATGTATAACGTTTTTAAGAAAAAAAAATTGTTCATTTTTATTTTTTATCTTATTCTAGACGATGGTCATCGCTCATCATCAAGTTGCCTGTAGACAGTTTCAAAATTTTCCAGATGCCTTATCTTTTCGTCCAGAAAGATGGCTCAGAAATGATTTTCGAAATACAATACATCCTTTTCTTGTTCTCCCTTTTGGATATGGTCCTAGAATGTGTATAGGTCGTCGTTTTGCCGAACTTGAACTTTATATTCTCGTCTCCAAGGTAAGTTTTCTATTCTCAAAATAACTAAAATCGAATTTTAAAAAATTAAATTCAAATTTTCACATAATATACTGAAAATTTATATAAATATATAAATGATTTATTAACAAACTGGCTCAAAAATTTCTTACCTTTTCAGATATTCCGTCATTTTAATTTGGAATATCATTGGGAAGATATAGATTGTTTCACACGACTTATTAATGTTCCAGATAAACAGTTAAGGCTAAAATTTATAGATACGGATTGAGAATAAATATCAGATTGTCGGTAAGTTATATATAAAATACTTTTAATTTTATTCATTTTTATTCAATTTTGTTTTAATTTTTTTGTGATAGACAAGTGCTTAAAATCATTTATTTCTTATCGAATAGTCAGTCATTCGTTCGCATCTCTATTGATAGTCACGATTTGAGTAGGTTTATTCTACAACGTTGTAGTTTTAATGCAAGATCGATACGTTAAACATATATTTATAAAAAAAGTAAAAGCGATTGTTTTGTTTAGATAAGTAAGTTTTAGAAAGGAAATAGATGGATTGAGAACTTTCCAGATATATCCTTAAGAGATCAGTAGCACTTAAAAGATAAAAATCCAAGATTAAACGAGATAGGAATCGTTTTCTAAAGTCTAGATATTTTCTTTAGCAGGATTCAACAGCTCAATTGTTCCATTTTGTTGTCTCAGATGACGTCATGTTGTCGAACAAGCAATGTGTCTGACATTAACTTGTCGCTAGAGACATTTCGTGTTATGTTGTCGAAGAGGTGCTCCTTTATAATTTTTTTTCCCTATGTCTTAATCTTTTGTTCAAAATTTGATTGGTACCTTTGGGATTTCTTCGTCTCTGTTTGTCTTGTTTTAATTTCAACCGTTTTTTTCCACCAAAGATTATTTGCGATAAAAAGTGTTTTTAGAATTGCAATTATTTAATTAGTGAATCAACGTAGAAAGTAACTTGATATTTCCGGTTGAATTAAAGCTTTTTTTCCTTTTTATTTTTACTTTTTTAGGTTCCGGAATTTTTCAAGAATAAGAAAAAAAAGGATGCAATCGTTTTAAAAACATTTATTCTACGTATTAAAAACACAACAACAGAATTTTAATGCAGTATTTTTTTTTTAATTTTTAAACTCTCCCAGATTTTTTTTCTTTATATCTACAAAATTCCAAAACATTAAATATGAATGGAATATTTTAAAAATTTTTTACAAATGATTAATCGAGTATTTTTATGCATTTATAAATTTTTATTTATAAATACCTATTTTTTTTTTTAAATGTTGAATAATTGAATAAAATACACAAATTTTTAATACTATTTAGAGATCACTATTTTATTATAATTAATAAATATTAAATTAAATGTTGTATGTAAACAATAAATTCATAATTAGAAGAAAGAGAACTTATTAAACTAGAAACGGCTTTAAAAACCTGTAAAAATATTGATGTATTTTAATCGTTAAATTCCAATAAAATATTAAATAGAATTAAACGAATGTTAATTTTTAAATTATAATTAATATATCAATATTTAATAAAATTTAAAATCTAGAATAAAGCAAAGTTATTTAAATAAAATATTAATTTGGTCTTAATGTCATTTTAAACGCGCAGCTTACTTCTACTTAGCGTTTTAAAAATCATTTTTGAATTAATTTTAGTGCTTTTATTGGAAGTTTTGTTCGTTCTTTAATAAAATTATACTTTCTATTACATATTTTTTTTTATTTATTTAATAGTGAACTTACGAAAAACATTTTCCTACTCGAAATAAATTAAAGTACTTTACTTCAATGAAAAATGATTTAATTAAATTGATTTTTAAACATCTTAAAAAAGATATTAATCCGTTGAAGAATAAACAAGCAAAAACTTAGAAATATTCAAATCTATTAACCATTTTTTGATATGATCATCAGATTCGCAATTTCACTTTCAATCTATTTACAATATTTAAAAATCTTTTATATTAACTGGCTACAGGAAATAGAACCCGTGGGAAACACGATCTACTCGAAAAAGAGGAGAAAAAAAATCGATAGAATGTCGACGGTTCAACCAAAGAGAGAAGTTTCTATTTTGGACATCATCTTATTCTCCAAGCAATAAACTATTGCTCGTAAATTTTTGGAAAGGCATCAGATTTTCAAATTTATAACTTTTCAAATCAGACAATACAACTGTAAAATATTGACTTGTAATGTTATAAACAAGTTAACAAATCAGGGATTATTGGCTGATTTTAGAATATGAATCATGCTCTTTACTACTTTACAATCTTGCGAACTTCATCGAAAACGATTTAAAAAAAAACCATAAGCATAATCTATTTTAAGGAGAACTTAATGGTTCCTATATTAATAACGAATAACACGCAGAAATGATCGTTAATCTTGCCTTCATCGAGTTTCTTCTTCGTATCAAAATTAATGAATTGTTCTTCCATGCATAAATTTAAAAAAATTTTTTAGGTTAAAGCATAAATGGCGGAATGACAAAACAGTTAAGAATAATCCATTATAAGTTTGAATAATGGAAAATATTACAAATATTTTTTTTCTTCTGTTCATTGCAGTTTTCCTTGGCATCTTATATATCATTCTATTCAGTTTTCGAAAGATCCCATTCCTCATGCATAGAACTTATCAAAGATCGAAAAATTGAAGTGCAGCAGAAAGGAAAAGAAATAGAGAAAGAACCCATTAGGAAAACATTGCCAAGTTTTTTCGTTTCTGGTAGACTAGGATGGGTCCCTCGTGTCATCCTGAAAATAAGTTATCAACATTTAGAAGCAGGAGAGAAAGTTCAGCACCACAAAAATATTAAAAGAAAAGCGTTCAGAAGTTAGCAACCGAGTTATTCATACATTTCTATCTTGTTCTTTCTCCGTGGATGTTTAGAAATTCATTTAAATATTCAACATTGGGAAAACAAGAGCCCGAACATTTTTATTTTTATTTGATAGAGAGGTGTTAAAAAGAACTAAAAAAGAAAAAAAATCAGCAAGTCTATAAATAATTTAACAGTCAATGATGATAAAGTTACAAATTTTTGCTACAAATAAAAGAAAAAAGCAAAAAGTGACTGCAAATATAGACAATGGATTTCAAAAAATTATCAAGAGGAAAGATCAATAAATATCTGCATATAAATAAACCTTGATTCTGGATTCTTTTAAAACTGTAAATCGAACTTAAAACGGCAGAAAATCGAAATAGACCTTCCAGAAATAAATTTTCGATAGAAAATGATGGAAGAAGTAAAAATTTAAAGTAGTAAGGATCGAATGACCTGCAGTTTGAAAATTTACAGGCAAGTCAAATCGATGACGACGCAATCCCAATACTTACTAAAAAAATTTTGCGAAAATCTGTGGAGAGCAAATAACAATATTCTGATTTTTCTCTCTCCCAAAAATGTATACGTTTTTACTATTTATAAGGCGAGTTAATCAGGTCGTAGACTGTAAGAAGCAATATTAATTAACGTTAATGCAATCTGAATGCGTTATAAATCGATTTTTAGTCATAATTTTTTTGAACGCTGCGAAAGCGAAAATGTTGAAGATAATGAAAACAAAGTGACTCCAAACGGCGTTAATTTAATCGTTTCGAGAAAATTTAATTTTAACAAAGCGGAAAAAGTTCTCGAATTAGAAGCAATCATATAAATGTGAAAAGGAAAAGCCGTCATTTGTAGCAGCAGGTCCAGTTTCGACTTAGTGAAGCGGTTCCTTTCAACATTGAGCAGATGATTACTGGCGCCAGTGATGGAAGGTGGAGTGTAGAAATTCGTAAAGGATGACTCAGTACTGTTGCGTCGTCATGACAACGGATGACAAATTAAAATGTCTTCGAGTCAACGCGACTATTTGTCCAGTATGGCCGAAAAGAGAAAATCCAGAAAAGAAGAAGAGGAGAGAAAGAAAAAATCGAATAAAAATGGCTAAAATCGACCTGTAGCTTACAAGTTGAGAAAATTGTCCGCAATCATGGAATATTTTACTCTGCCATGTTTGCTGTAGACAACGTAATATATTGTCCAAAATGCAACTGGTATTGACACATTTTTCCTTCTCAGAAAAGACAATAACTTTTCTAAGATGTTACAGTTATATAGAAAATTCTAGAAATGCATTTAAAGTTTCACAATTTATAACACCTAAGTTTTGATTAATATTAAAATGTGTGACATTTTACATGCCCTTAAACATTAGTTTTTAACCTTTTTAAACTGCGCCTCCATCTCTTTCAATTTGCAAGTATTCTGGCTTATTAATAACATATGAACTTATTAGAATTATTACTTATAGTTTAAATTTAATATAAGAAATTTTGTAATGAAAAAAGTCTAGTGAAATTGCTTCTATTACTGTATTGAGATCAAACAGAAGTGAAAACCCGGAGATATCCGTATAAAAAATTCATAAAAAAAATAGATTTTGTTTAGAATTTATAGCCGTTTCAGAAATATCGATTTTTAGATTTTGTCATTGTATAAATGATATGCTTATAAAATCTTTAAATTAAAATTTCATTTTACTTAAACATTTTAATGGGGAAATTCTCTGAGAGAACAGTTTATATAACTGTTTTTGTTGCATTCAACAGATAGAGGAAAAAGAATCGAGTCTACAGTTAAATATTTATCATAAAATATTCAATGTTTTACGACCGAAAAGAGTCGAGTGGTGATATTTAATGTAAGGGAAAAGTAAATCTATATTTCTAGAAAAATATCTTGGTTGATGACACATTACTGTCAATTCATCACATGTTTCTGCGAGCGACAATAATGAAGATCTCAGATAAAGATAGTCTCAACGATTTCCAGTTCAGAAAACATGATGAACATTCTACTTATCCTGTTTCGGTTGAAAATAAATAGTTGTGCGCAGTCTCTGTCAAAATACAAACGATAAAAGTTGTCTGCGATAATACGCCTGAACGCTGCCACTGATCGCGTTATGAAGAGTGAACAATGTAAGCGATAATCTACCACTGCGAGTCGATTTATTTCTTTGATACTCTACCAATAGAGATCACTGACATCTTTCATTTTGCTTCTTTTTTGCTGCGCGAGGGCTTTTTTAAGAGCTTTCTGTGGTATCGACGTCGCCACTCTAACTGGAATACACTTCGAAAGATATATTGATGTTGGTGTGTTCTGAGAGAATTCCGAATTATACGTCTTAAAAGATAGCATCAAACAATTTATATAATCTTTTAACATACACGATTTGAAATTTGCTTGTAATTATGATAACCTGAATCGTTAATTTCGAAAAACTCACGTAGTAGTAGTACTGTAGTAATAGTAGTAGTGGTAGTGGTGCATATAAATGTATATATAACATCTCATGATCTATTCTAATACAAACTGTTAACTACGTGCACAGCATTTATATTAACTAACGGTGAATATTTAGATATTTAGAATAGCATGAAAGGCTATTGCACTTTATATTTCCATATTAAACAGCAGAATAAAATGTGTAGATCTGTTAGATGCACATTATTATAACTTAAGTATAGTATAATAAGACTATGCAATATATTCTTACTTCTGTTTCTAATAATTACTATGAGTATGTCAGGGACCAACATATAATCTTATTATACACAGTATTAAATATAACTTCAACCACGTTTTCCTGATTTGATTGGTATATTTAAAGGACTATCTAGTTTATGGTTTTAACGACTATAAACTAAATAGAGTAAACAGTTTTAAAACATCAAAATACGGTCTATGAATTTGTCAGTATTTTCATTTTTCATAGTTTTTATAATGAAACAGTTTATTAAATGTATTTTAAAGGTATTATACAGTATAAACCTAATATTTGTGTATATTACATTTTTCCATCGTGGATTCTTTCTGTAGCAGAACGGTATATTTTTATGCAGCTATCGAATGGTATAATATATTATCTTAATAAAATAACATATTCGACTAAAATTTTATTTAAATTCATTCAAAATACAAAGAATTGAAATGATCTGTAGTGTGAAACAGTGTCGTAAAAAA